CGGGGCCTTGCAGTTCTAGAATGTAGTGATGCAACCTGTAGCATAAATAAAAAGCCTCATGTGCCCCCATGAGAAGCTGGGGCTTCTCCTCAGTACTGGGGTGTGCTGTGTTTGTGATCGTGCAGATGTAAAAGTGTGAGGGAGATGTCTAAAAACCAGGCTCCCAAAGACAGTCCTTCATGTCTGGTGCTTTCATGTGTGTATGCACACCTGTTTGACGCGTGTACACCTTCACTCGTGCCCGTTTCATGCGTGTACACCTGTTCATGTGTGCATGCACCTGTTTCGCGTGTGTATGTGCCTGGGCATTCACCCTGCATTGCGTCATATGTTGTATTTTACAGATTTTTTTTTTTTTCAGTTTGTATCGTGAGCTTGTAACGACTTTGTGAAGAAAAGAGGGGGCCCTGGCAGCCTTTGACTTTGAGAAACGTGATGTCATGGGACCAGATGAGACAGCCCGGGTGAGGCCGGCAGAGGCCATCGTGGCCTGGGAGTCCGTGCACATCCACTGTCTGTCGCTGTGTGACAAGTGACCCCAAAACCTAGGGGGTAAGGCAACGTACACGTACGATTGTACAGCTTCTTCAGGTTGCAAATTCAGGGCAGCCCTGCTGAGCGACTCTGGTCCAGTCCCCCGCGTCACCGTGAAGATGCTGTCCAGGGCTGCGGCCATCTGTAGGCTCAGCTGGGCTGGAGGTTCTGCTCCAGGATGCTGTGCTGACGTGTCTGCGGGCAGAGGCCTGGTCCTCCACACCTGGCCCCTCCCTGGGGCTGCCAAGTGCATTCCTGCCCAGGGCCGCTCCTTTCCCCAGAGACGTAGCAGTGCTGGTCTTATGCCCAGCGTCAAGGTGGCCGGGTCAGGAGCAAAGACTTGTTTCCCCTACTCAGAGTCTACTCCTGCAGGGTTGGGCGACAGTGGAGGTCGCGCAGGAAGGTGTTCGCTGAAGACCGTGCTCTGTGACTTGACGGGTGTTCCTCCCAGGAGGGTGAAATGGAGACTGGACGCTGGGAGCGGCGTCCTGCGCGACCCCGCATGTAGTGGGCTCACAGCAGAGCTACGTCCTTCCTTTACAGATACTTTTCAGAGTCTGCCCGCCTTTAGATTCTCTGATTAACGTGTCTGAGGAGGGTCCCAGGAGTCTGCCACCTGCCAGGCCAAGGACGTTCCCTGCATGTGACTGGTCCCTTGACACCCTGAGAAATGTGACTTGAGAGGATCACCCGAGTTTCCTAAATGAGTCACCTGCCTTCTCTTCCCTTTGCTTTCATGCCTCCCCCAGGCTGGGTCAGTCCTGTCAGCTGCAGCGATAACTGTATGCTGGGGTTACAAGGAGATTGGGGGTGTGTCTGGTCCCCCAGGGAGATTCAGTGACTGAGGATGCTGTCATGGCAGCCAAAATGTCCTTATTGCTTTCACTTTTAGTGAAGTTCAGTGACTACGTTTTCTGAGGCACAACGATGTCCTTGTGAACAATTGGTGATCAAGGAAGCAAACAAGTGTGGGAAAATGATCCTGCCCTGAAACCTGAAAAACAGCAAAACAGTAAAGAGCCCTGAAGAGCCCATGAACCTCCTCATGGGGCAGTGAGGAGACACCTCAGTAATGGCTTAAAAAAAAAATGAGATGATACTGAAGAAAAGGTAAACTAAATTTTGGGTCTCCTATGGGTAAAGAGATTGTGGTTTACATTTTGTAGGCATGTGTTTTCATAATTATTTATTTTTCTTTGTTGGATTTAGAATTAGTAGCAATAAATGTGATTTTTTTTTTAATTAAAAAATTAGGGTACACGAAGTCTAATCCCTTTGTGATATTTCTGTACTGTGAGGCTCCACATACAAAAGTGAAGCCCAGACTGTCTATCTCTACTGAACCAGAGAGAAGTGGTCATCTCCTGCAGGTCGGTCTGGCCTCCAGGCGTCTGGCCATCCTCCCAGTTTTGGGCTCACATGCGTCACTGGTGCTTCCTGCCAGGCTGTGACTCTGCCCAGGTTTCAGGAGCAGCTGGAACAGTTTTCCTGGGGGTCCTGCTTTGTTCTGGCTCCTGGAAGCACAGGCTTTTGATGGAAGGACTCTCTCCACCGCCAGGTCAATTGGTGATTGCCCCCCAGGCTGTATTTCTCGCATGGGGCGCAGAGAGTGCGGGCGTAGTGTCCTAGCCCTGGAGCCAGCTCTAGGACTGCACAGCGGCCTTGCCTCCACCCCTCATCTGGGAACAGGGCGGTGGGGAGGAGAAGGGAACCCCAGGGTCTTGCCCCTTCTGCATCTTGAGAACACGGGAACACATTGTCCCATTGTCTCTCACCATTCACAGCCCAAGCTTGTGTGAAGTATTTATTTTATAACCTCCCCTGACAATGATGTATTTTATATAAGCAGCACATAAAGTGGTGATTTAATACCCTTATCAAGCAAGATCTAAACAATAGGGAACAGATATCACTGTAGAAAAGTTACTTTATCCAGGAAACATTTGTCTACTGCAGGTGGAAATGAATCATGGCTTCCTCCTCGGCGGCTCCTGATGAGCCTGTGAGATTCTGTCCTGTTCGCCACTATTAGTTTATAAGCTACACCTTTCTTTCTATGACGTTAGTTACAAGCTCTACCTTTCCTTCTATGATGCTTCTTTCTTGCCTGTTCAGCACTGTTACAGTTACAAGCTCTACCAAAGTCCCCTCCATCTCCTTTCTAGTTCCTTTTTATATCTTGACTATAATGATATAGCTACACATTTCCCACTCTCCTGTCAGTAGTTCATTATTCCATTATCATTTATTTATTTATTTATTTATTTTATTATTATTATACTTTAAGTTCTAGGGTACATGTGCATAATGTGCAGGTTTGTTACATTATGTATACTTGTGCCATGTTGGTGTGCTGCACCCATCAACTCGTCAGCACCCATCAACTCGTCATTTACATCAGGTATAACTCCCAATGCAATCCTCCCACTCCCGTTATGCACATGTACCCTAGAACTTAAAGTATAATAATAATAAAAAGTAAATTAAAAAAAACAAAATCGAATGCTATAAATAGAATAATGTCTTTTGTTTCCACAGTCGATATACTAGAGTGATATGAAAATAATATTTAAAGTGAGATATTTTATGGCAAAGTTATTTTGAGGTTAACGCTGCAGCTGCAAGTGCTGCCAGCAACTGTTCATAGGGCAAATGGGAAAAGGGTTGAAAAGGAGCTTATATGGCAAATAATTATTCTTGCTGTGCTTTATCCAAATAATCAGACCAAGTATAAGAAGACTAGAGCTTACTTTGCAATCAAATCAGTCTTATCATAATTTGTTTTTAATAAAAATGAAGAGTGAAAAGAGAAAATTTATGTTTGAAGAACTATGGTACACCTGTCAGTAGAGCTGCCTGGCCACTGGTGCATGCAGACAGCCCATCCCAAGGGAAAAACCAGAGGTGAAGGAATGTAACCCCTGGAAGCATGGCAACGTATAAAACTGCAAGTCAAAGGCCAAACTGTGCGCTTAATCTCCCAAGTCGCCCGTTTGACCCTCTTCCAAGTGTACTTTACTTCCTTTCATTCCTGCTCTAAACTTTTTAATAAACATTCACTTCTGCTCTAAAACTTGCCGCAGTCCCTCATTCTGCCTTATGCCCCTCAGTTGAATTCTTTCTTCTGAGGAGGAAAGAATTCCGGTTACTGCAGACCCATACAGATTCTCTACTGCTAACAATAGGAAATTTTACATTGTTGAGTGTCTACATTTAGTTGTTTTCCTTTAGATTGTTGGAAGTTTATCTTGGCAAACCATAAGTTACATGCTGATCAGCTTGTTTCTTTCAAGTCTTGATTTTAATCTTTTTTCTTTTTATGTAGAGTAGCTGTTATTCCAGTGCTAGTTACGTACTACTACAAACTAATGACCACTTCAGCAATTCTACTGAATGCCCCAGGCATTCAATATGGTCTCTCCACAATGACTATTCCGAGATGAAACATATTCTGGCCCTGCATATGTTTCAAAATTGTTTAAGGTCCCCATTAATCATTCTTTCCCCAGTGATTGCTCTTTGTTCCTGTACATTTGCAGCTTAGGATGCATGTTATCATTCATGTGTGCTTAGAAGCTGTCCAATTAATGAGAAAATAATGTTCAAGAAAGGTATGTTAGGTGTCGACATTATTGCTGGATTATATGCTATAATACGAGCAATCCTTTGACTCATTAATAAAGCTTTGTTTGCGTACCAAAACCTGTGATATACTGGATCTGAAAGATAAATGTTCCAAGCACAGACACATTGGGGAGGAGGATTCAGGAATCTCATATCCAATAAAACTCATTGATAACTGTTACTCATATGAGAAATCAAGGCAAAACCCCTGACCTCTTGCAATGCACATTACAAAAGCTTACCTTGTAAAGTTTACCTTCTCTTAGCTTGTAAAGAGAAGGAGAGGTAGAGAGAGAGAGGAGGTGAGGGGAGAAAGAGAACTAGAGAAAAGCAATGATGTGGTTGAAGGGTGAGAGAAAAAGACCTAATTACAGACCAGTAGCAACCTTCCACCACTGAGGACTGAAATGTCAACTACAGTGTTTTTTTCTCCAATGTATTCCTTTTTGTGAAAATAAGAAAAAAAGGACATTACACATAACAGACACAACAAAATAACCACAGTTGTATTTTCAATACTATAAAATTCATGCCATATTAAGAGATGTGTGTTCAGAAATATAAATTTTTCACTTTAAAATCTGCTTTAAGGAATGTCAGTGTTTTGGACAAAATATGATTATAAGCATGGAATAAAATGAGAGAGGGCCAAGAATATTTCTGAGAAAATGGTGAAAAGAAAGATAGACTTAAAATAAAACTGATGTTTTTGAAAAGCACACAGGATATATAGTGTATCCAGTTTGAGGTTATAGGAAACAGGTATGAATTTCAGCCCACTCACTCATTAAGTCATTAATAAATTATCTTATTTTAGATATTCAGAGATCCAGCTGTCCTTGTTAGAACCCTTTCTTCAACAACCTCTGCATTCCCTGCTTAATCTCTTGGGTTCTTACCCCATAAACGATGGGGTTAAGGGCTGCAGGAATGACATGGTGTAGAACATTGAGCAAGACCGGCACATCAGGGGAGACTTTCTTCTTAGCCACATGTGTGAGGACAAAAACCAGAAGGATGGTGCTGAAGAGGATAAGGATGAAGTGGGAGCCATATGTGCTTAGGGCCTTTGCCACAGCACCCTCCACCTTGAGTCTCAGCACAGCTCGCAGAATGAGGGTGTAGGAGAGGAAGATAAGAACGAGGTCAGATCCTAGCAGAGTCCAGTCTGCAGCTAATTGGTAAAGGCGATTGATGGTGACATCATCGCAGGAGAGTCTGGAAACAGATATATTGAACAGATGCAGTTCCCAATGACATTTCTTCCACAATAACGGAGTTGTGCTGAGAGGATGGGGATGGGCAGAGTCATAAGCACATTTCTGGTCAAAATAAAAATGACAGCCTTGACTACAAATTGATCAGTGATGATTGATGGATATCTCAGTGGGTGGCAGATAGCTACATAACGATCATAAGCCATGACCATGAATGTGCAAGACTCCATGGCTTGGAAACAATTCATGATGTACATCTGCAGGAAGCAGGCAGGGAAGCTGACGGGCCTGAGGTCAAACCAGAAGATGGCCAGGACCTTGGGGATGACAGTGACGCAGAGCACGATGTCCAGCAGGGAGAGGAGGCTGAGCAGGTAGTACAGTGGTTTGTGCAGAGAGGTCTCCAGCTGGACGGTGATCAGGAGGGTGGCGTTGGCCCCTATGGCCAAGAGGAAGATGAGGCTGAGGGCCAGGGACAGCCAGTGCTGCCAGTTGGGGGATCGGACAAAACAATTCAAAAGGAAGTCTGAAGCTTCAGTGGAGAGGGTGCCATTTCGGTGTGTTGTCATATTTTCCCATATATTTTGCTGCTTTCTTTTAGTAATCTGGAAAATCAGGATTACAAATTAGTTGTGGATTCTTGATACACAAAGATAGCACAATTTGTTTGTATAGGTACAACTTGTGGTATCTAGCAGGTTATGTAGAGCCAAGCAAATTCATCCATTTATCCTCAGTGTCGTGTCACTGGGGTATTCCTATCACTTTAAACAGTACAGCTGTCTGAGGTGATCATTCCTCTATACATGTTTACTTTATTCAACATCAATTTTCAGTAGAGTTGGTTTTTTTTAGAGAAATTGAAAAGGAGAAAATACTTAGAAAACGACTTTAGTGTGACGTGAGACTCTAAATTTTACCCATAAGTTTCTTCTTCATGATTTTCGTTTTAATGTACACATAGCCTATCATGTCTACAAGTTGACTATTGCAATATGCTCAAATAAATAGCAGAGCCTGGCAAAAAGATGGGACTCAGATAAATGTCCCTAGTCCCCATGTACACATGACATCCTTATTCTAACCTTTCTACTGCATTTATTTTGCTTAGAGATTTTTTAAATCATACATGTAAAATAAATTTAGTTAACTTGTATTTTGTCTAAAATTTCATTTTTATTTAGTAGGCATAGATTCTGCCAAATAATTGCATTAATATCTCTCTATTTTTTAGATGTTCTTATTTTTAGGCTTCCTAACTTCTGGGAGAAACAGTTTTAAAAGGAGAGTGGGCACTTCCACATAGCTAACAGGGAGCAATGCTTGTCATTAGACATGAGAAAAAATTGGTGTCTCTTATTGTAATGGTGTGAGGGTGACGAAGTTCATTATTAAAGTCCCTCCATCTCCTTTCTAGTTCCTTTTTATATCTTGACTATAATGATATAGCTACACATTTCCCACTCTCCTGTCAGTAGTTCATTATTCCATTATCATTTATTTATTTATTTTTTATTATTATTATACTTTAAGTTCTAGGGTACATGTGCATAACGTGAGGAGGGTGCATTGGGGTGCCTGGATGTAGGCCTGGCAGGTTACAGTGGGTGCTGACGAGTTGATGAAATTACCTTTATAACACACTGCACAAGTATACATATCAACAAACCTGCCATTATGCACATATGCCCTAGAACTTAAAGCCTTAATAAAAGTAAATTAAAAAAAACAAAAATCAGAATGCTATAAATAGAATAAATATCTTTGTTTACACAGTCAGAAATATACTAGAGTGATATGAAAATAATATTTAAGTGAGAGATATTTTATGGCAAAGTTATTTTGAGAGATTAACGCTGCAGCCCAAGTGCCTTAACATTCATAGGGCAAATGGGAAAAAGGAGTTGAAAAGAACATAACTGATAATTATTCTTTGATGCTTTATCCGTAATCAGACCAAGTATAAGAAGACTAGAGCTTACTTTTAATCAAATCAGTCTTATGTTTGTTTGTTTTAATAAAAATGAAGAGTGAAAAGAAAATTTATGTTTGAGAACTATGGTACACACATGGAGTAGAGCTGCTTACCTGGCCACTGGGTGCCATGCCAGACAGCCCATCAAAGGGAAACAGAGGTGAAGGAATGTAACCCCTGGAAGCATATAGCATCATCAAAGCGCAAGTCAAAAGGCCAAACTGTAAGCAATCCCAAGTCCTTGTTGACCCTCTTAAGTGTACTTTGCCAACTCGTTCCTGCTCTAAACTTTTTATCTGTGTTTCACTTCTGCTCTAAAACTTGCACAGGTCTCATTCTGCCCTTATGCCCCTCAGTTGAGTTACTTTCTTACAGGAGGAAAATTCAGTTACTGCAGGCCCATACAGTTACTGCTATAATGGAAATTTTACATTGTTAGTGTCACATTTAGTTGTTCCTTTAGGTTGACAGGTTTATCTTGGCAAACCATAAGTTACATACTGATCAAGCTTGTTTCTTTCAAGTCTTGATTTTAATCTTTTTTCTTTTTATGTAGAGTAGCTGTTATTTCAGTTCTTTAGTTACGTACTACAAACTATTAATACACTTCAGCAATTCTGCACAGATACCCCAGGCATTCAATATGGTCTCTCCACAATGACTATTCCGAGATGAAACATATTCTGGCCCTGCATATGTTTCAAAATTATTAAGGTCCCATTAATCATTCTTTCCTGATGATTGCTCTTTGTTCCTGTACATTTGCAGCTTGGATCCATGTTATCATTCATGTGTGCTTAGAAGCTGTCAATTAATGAGAAAATAATGTTCAAGAAAGGTATGTTGGTGTCTGACATTATTGCTGGATTATATGCTATATCTGACAATCCTTTGACTCGTCAATAAGCTTTGTTTGCGTACCAAACCTGTGATATACTGGATCTGAAGAGATAAATGTTCCAAGCACAGGCTTACGTGGGGAGGAGGATTCTTGAATCTCTGTCAATAAAACTCATTGATAACTGTTACTCATGAGAAATCAAGGCCAACCCTGACCTCTTGCAATGATGCACATTACAAAAGCTTACCTTGTAAAGAGTTTACCTTCTCTTAGCTTATAGAAGGAGAGGTAGAGAGAGAGAGGAGGTGAGGGGAGAAAGAGAACTAGAGAAAAGCAATGATGTGGTTGAAGGGTGAGAAAAAGAGACATAATTACAGACCAGTAGCAACCTTCCACCACTGAGGACTGAAATGTCAACTACAGTGTTTTTTTCTCCAATGTATTCCTTTTTGTGAAAATAAGAAAAAAAGGACATTACACATAACAGACACAACAAAATAACCACAGTTGTATTTTCAATACTATAAAATTCATGCCATATTAGAGATGTGTTCAAGAAATATAAATTTTTCACTTTAAATCTGCTTTATAAGGAATGTCAGTGTTTTGGACAAAATATGATTATAAACTGTGGAATAAAATGAGAGAAGACCAAGAATATTTCTGAGAAAATGGTGAAAAGAAAGATAGACTTAAAATAAAACTGATGTTTTTGAAAAGCACACAGGATATAGGTATCCAGTTTGAGGTTATAGGAAACAGGTATGAATTTCAGCCCACTCACTCATTAAGTCATTAATAAATTATCTTATCTTAGATATTCAGGATCCAAACTGTCTTGTTAGAACCCTTTCTTCAACAACCTCTGCATTCCCTGCTTAATCTCTTGGGTTCTTACCCCATAAACGATGGGGTTGAGGCTGCAGGAATGACATGAGGTGTAGAACATTGAGCAAGACCGGCACATCAGGGAGACTTTCTTCTTAGCCACATATTGTGAGGACAAAAACCAGAAGGATGGTGCTGAAGAGGATAAGGATGAAGTGGGAGCCATATGTACTTAGGGCCTTTGCCACAGCACCCTCCACCTTAATTCTCAGCACAGCTCAGAATGAAAGGGTGTAGGAGAGGAAGATAAGAACGAGGAGTCAGATCCTAGCAGAGTCAGTCTGCAGCTAATTATTAAGGCGATTGATGGTGACATCATGTGAGAGAATCTGGAAACAGATATATTGAACAGATAAGTTAACATTTCTTCCACAATAGCAGGTTGTGCTGAGGAGGATAGGGGATGGGCAGAGTCATAAAGCATTTCTGGTCAAAATAAAGCTGACAGCCTTGACTACAAATTGATCAGTGATGATTGATGGATATCTCAGTGGGTGGCGAATAGCTACACCATGATCATAAGCCATGACTGCTGATATTTCAAGACTCCATGGCTTAGAAACAATTCATGATGCCATCTGCAGGAAGCAGGCAGAAGCTGACAGGCCTGAGGTCAAACCAGAAGATGGCCAGGACCTTGGGATGACAGTGACGCAGAGCACGATGTCCAGCAGGAAGGAGGCTGAGCAGGTAGTACAGTGGTTTGTGCAGAGAGGTCTCAGCTGGACAGGTGATCAAGGAGGTGGCGTTGGCCCCTGGCCAAGGAAGATGAGGCTGAGGCAGGGACAGCCAGTGCTGCCAGTTAGGGGGATGGTGCGAAAACAATTCAAAGGAAGTCTGAAGCTTCAGTGGAAAGTGCCATTTCGGTGTGTTGTCATATTTTCCCATATATTTGCTGCTTTCTTTTAGTAATCTGGAAAAATCAGGATTACAAATTAGTTGTGGATTCTTGATACCGAATGCCTAATTTGTTGTATAAGGTACAACTTGTGGTATCTAGCAGGTTATGTAGAGCCAAGCAAATTCATCCATTTATCCTCAGTGTCGTGTCACTGGGGTATTCCTATCACTTTAAACAGTACAGCTGTCTGAGGTGATCATTCCTCTATACATGTTTACTTTATTCAACATCAATTTTCAGTAGAGTTGGTTTTAGAGGGGTGAAAGGAAAATACTTGAAAACGACTTTAGTGTGACGTGAGACTCTAAATTTTACCCATAAGTTTCTTCTTCATGATTTTCTGTTTAATGTACACATAGCCTATATCATGTCTACAAGTTGACTATTTACCCAACTTTTCTCAAATAAATAGCAGAGCCTGGCAAAAAGATGGGACTCAGATAAATGTCCCTAGTCCCCATGTACACATGACATCCTTATTCTAACCTTTCTACTGCATTTATTTTGCTTAGAGATTTTTTAAATCATACATGTAAAATAAATTTAGTTAACTTGTATTTGTCTAAATTTCATTTTATTTAGTAAACCTAGATTCTGCCAAATAATTGCATTAATATCTCTCCTATTTTTAGATGTTCTTATTTTTAGGCTTCCTAACTTCTGGGAGGAAACAGTTTTAAAGGAGGTGGGCACTTCCATAACAGGAGCAATGCTTGTCATTAGACATGAGAAAAATTGGGTGTCTCTTATTGTAATGGTGTGAGGGTGACAAGTTCATTAGTAAAGTCCCTCCATCTCCTTTCCTAGTTTTCAAACACCTTCTCTTGACTATAATGATATAGCTACATTTCCCACTCTCCTGTCAGTAGTTCATTTATTCCATTATGTTTATTTATTTATTTTTTATTATTATTATACTTTAAGTTCTAAGGTACATGTGCATAACGTGCAGGTTTGTTACATA